TAAAATTAATTTCTGAAAATAATGACTCACATGAATAAGTTGAAGAAAAAATAGACAAAACAGCTAACGCTACTATTTTTAAAGTGGAATAATCTTTTGGAACTGCATTCAAAATCTTGTTCCCTATGTTAACAATCAATTTGCCTATTGCACCATCACGCTGAATTTCTTTCATTTAATTTCTCAGTATAACGAATTTTTCTTTCCATAAGGTATTCGACTGAAAATATACAAGTTGCATTTCAAAATCATCTAAGTTCAGCAGTTCAAACACTTTTAAGTTGAGTTTTTCAAATGACAATGTGTCTGGATAAATAATAATTTTCATAGTTTCTTCAAATTCATTAAACCGAGTAAAGCGTGTAGAGAACTCATTCATAGCTGTCTTAATATTATTTGGCGATTGCCCCCGGGCGCCGAAGTCTTGTAACAGTAAGGGGGCGCCCTTATCAGCACTTAATATGCTACCTGTGCCCAGTGGCCCCGAGGAAGATATGTTGCCTCGGAGCGTTGAAATGTTTGACACGGCTCTGCGCGTATAAATATAATTATACGTAATGCTGTAAGACGTATAACATTGGAAAATGTGCTGCCCCTCAAGTGCCTGCGTATAAATACACCACCGCTAATAATACAACTTAAACAACAACTGAAAAAAATACGTTTATCTTTATACTATAGATAACTCCGAAAATTGTTCTAATCCAGTGGTTCAATAGGAGGAATAACCAGAATACGTAATTTGTATTCGTAGTACGTTTGGTTTTGTTTTTTCTGTTCGATGTTCAAATGTGCCGCCCATAATATTAATAAATCCGTATCCAGCGCGTGCGCACAATCGGCGTCGAAACGGTCCGATGGTCCGGCACTGCGACAGCACGTCACAGATATCTATATTAAACTAGATAAGGTACTCGCGTTATCGTATGAATCCCACAGATCCGTTATCACAAATTTCGTGGTTGGCAAAACAATTTGAATTACCATTACGATTACACATTTACACCTATAATATTATGGTTTTATGAGTGTGTGAATTTATTTATTTGACATTATTTTGACAATAATGATTATATTATTTTACTTATTGTGCTTCATATTTTAAATATAATCATGCCAGTGTCATGTGTTGCGTATGGATGTACAAATAGATATAAAATTGGTCAGAATATTCATTTTTTTCGGTAAGTTTATCTATGATTAGTTATCTACTATTATTATTAATATAGTTTACACGTAGGTATACATAGCTAAGGTTAGGTTATTTTAATACAGATATTTTGAATATTATAGATTTCCTTTAGCCAATGTTGATCTAAATAAAAAATGGATTGCAGCTATTAAAAGAAAGAAGTTTACACCAACGAAATGGAGCCGTTTATGTAGTGATCATTTTGTTAATGACAATTATCAAGTAAAACTGGGTAATAATAAAAACATATTTTTAAAAGAAGATGCTGTGCCAACAGTGTTCTCTGCATTTCCTTCTTACTACCAAAAGGCGTCCAAAATTCCAAGAAAAGAACCGCTTGTAAGAAATCTCATTCAAATTGAAAATTCAAATTTAAATGCAGCAGGTACTTATGAAATTAAATTAAACTACACAAATGAAAACTTAATTTAATTTATATCTAATGACAATTAAAAAATATATTTAATTCAAATCTAGCAGAATATGACATTCCATTAATTGATGATAAAATTGGAACTTCTGATGACATTCAATTAGAAGATGATAAAGTTGAAACCTTTGATAAAATAGTTCCTACTACTAATAATAAGGAAGTTCAAACAGTTAATAGTTATACCAGTGAACTTTTATTGAAAAAAAAAAATAAGAACTTTACAGCAAAAGTTAAGAAGAAAAGATAAAAAATTATATAACCTGCAAGAATTATTAAACGATTTGAAAAGTAGAGGCTTAATCGATGGTGAACCAGTAAATATAATAGAAAATAGTTTCAGCGGTAAATATTAATATTTAAAAATTTGTTATTTTGTAAAATAAAATATACAACTTGCTTGCTTTTTCTGCTTCTAAGCACTTATTTGCAGGCATTTGCACATTTAATATTAATGAATGGCTTATATCTTATGCTTTCTTATTAGGCACTATATTGAGCCTATTTAAAAATGAATTAAAAAACAGTAAAAAAGGTACAGGTTGTCGCTATACAAAAGAAATGAAAGAGTTTGCCTTAACCTTACATTACTATTCACCAAAAGCTTATAACTTCTGCCGGTAATTAATGCTTTTCTAGTAATTTGAATGACTACTTTTATTTTATTAAAATATACAGTGGCCGACGCTTATAGTGATCACATTTGTCCGAGAGTATTTTGATTACTGTAAGCAGCTGATTCTTATATCCAGTGAATACTATAAATGGCAACCACTGTACTTGTTATTAATCTTTAATAACTTCTATATCTATAATCTCCCAGAAGCATACAATTATGGTTTTATTATAATTATTTATGTATAATTTTTTAGTACTATTCTAACTCTTCCTAATCCATCTTCAATTGCTAATTGGACCTCAACTGTTAATGCGAAACCTGGTTTTTTCAAAGAAGTTTTTAAGAGTATTAAACTAATTCCAGCTAGTGAGAAAGATTGCAACCTAGTATTTGATAGCATGTCAATAAGAAAAAAAATTGTATATGACGGAAAAGAAGATAAATTTGTAGGGTATTGTGATTTTGGCGGCATACAAGTCGAAACTCAAGAGACCCCTGCAATTGAAGCATTATTTTTTATGTTGGTTGGACTTAATGGAAAATGGAAATGGCCAATAGGATACTTTTTGCAGGCTAAAAGTACAGCTATAATACAAGCTGGACTTATTACAACTGCAATTCAAATGGCTAAAGAAATAGGAGCTAGAGTTTGGGGTGTCACTTGTGATGGAACTACAACCAACTTGTCAACTATGACACACTTAGGGTACAAACAAAGTGGTACTTATGATGAAATACATGAATCAATTAGTATACCTGGGATCGATTGGAAGGTAATAATGTATACAACAATTAATTTGTTGAACTTAATTTAACATGAATATTAATACATTTTTTTAAATGAATACATAGATATATTATGTGCCCGATGCTTGTCATAATATCAAACTTGCTCGCAATGCACTAGCTACTTATCAACAATTTAAATACAATGACAATGTTATTAGTTGGTCATACATTAAGCATTTAAATACAGGTATAAATTATATTATATTAATAACATTTACATTAAATATTTTTATTTAATTTCAGTTCAGCAAAATATAGGATTAAATATTGCAAATAAACTATCAAATACCCATATTGATTGGAAGAAAAATATCATGAAGGTGAAACTCGCAGCGCAAACTTTATCCTCATCAACAGCTGATGCTCTTGAATTTTTTAGACATATAAATGAACCTACATTTAAAGACAGTTGAGTTTAAGTTCTATAAATAAATAATACAATTTGAAATTAAATATTTTTTGTTGGATTTCAGGTGAACCAACTGAAACATTTATTAGAGTAATTGACAGCATATTTGATTTTTTAAATAGTCGCAATCCATTTGGAAAAGGTTTTAAAAAACCTCTGTACAGAAATGATGTTGATAGAATGAGATGTATAATTATACCTCAAATAGAGTATTTATTAAAACTTACAAATATCGAAGGAAAGTTCCTTTATTTAACTCCACGTAAAACATTTATTCTTGGTAAGTATAAATTTGATTAAAATGTAAACCTATTAAATTTGTTTTGACAAATCTGACACGTCGATTAAATTTCTCCTTTAGGGTTGGCAACTGCAGTGAAATCAATATTTAGCATAGCAGATGAATTGTTTTATACTGCTGAATATAAATACATGTTAACATACAAGTTTTCCCAGGACCACCTAGAAATGTTTTTCTCAAAAATAAGGCAGCGTTTTGGGAACAATAATAATCCAAATGCTTTAGAACTTAGAACAGCATTGAAACAAATACTTTTAAAAAATTCAATTTCTTCTTCGTATGCTGCTAATTGTATTGCACTAGATAACACAGGTTCTGAAAGTGTTTTTGAGATACGCTGGGCAAAAAAAACATTAGTAGACAATGTTATCGAAGAAGTTGAAGATGAAAATATATCAAATCTTCTGCCTTATATTGATAGTTTTGATTTGGTAAAAGATAATATTTTATATTATATTTGTGGATTTATCGTTAGAAGTGTTTATAAAAAAATTGACTGTCAAACTTGTGCCTATAGTATAATTGAAAATGAATCTGAACATAATTATAGTCATAAATATCCTCATTCAATATTAGTAGATGTTAAAAATAGAGGAGGATTAATAAAAAGTTCAAAGGATGTGGTTGTAATTGTTAAATTTATTGAAAGTACATTAATTCAATTAACATCAAATTTTTGTTCATTATTACCAGGCTTAAGTCAAAAAGTTATTCTTGCCGTTAAAAATCATGTATATAATTATAGTATTTTTAATTGCTTAAATTGTGTAAATGACGGTTTTTTAGAAAATCACAAGTTGAATTTGGTAACTTTAATTTGCAAGCAATATCTGAAAGTTCGTCTTCATTATGTGGCCAAGTTGAAAACAAGTGCAGACGTTAGTAAACGTCGCTTATTGACCAAATTAATATTATTTAACCATCAATAACATTATATGTATGTTATATTATACTGTATTATGACATGAATTTATGTAAACATTATATTAATAAATAACTATATACAAAATGAGTTTTTGCTATTTCATACATACTTAATCTTAATAAAAATGCCATCAAATACTTAGTACCATACTAACATCCATAGTGTATACACAACAGACCCAACTTTTGAAGATATAAGTTATAAATTATGTAAAAAAGTAACGAATTTCTGTAGTTATTAAGCTAATTCCTATAGAGTAATCGAATGTTTTGCCAACCAGCAATATGGCGCCCATATGATAATACACTGATAAGCGCTTGAAATCTGGCTTCACTTTTTCCTATGTGCAACGTCCCGAGTACCTTATCTAGTATAATATAGATATCTGTGCAGCACGTGCGTTCGGAACGTTTATCGATATCGTTATCAAAACGATTCGTGATAATCGAACGGCCTACGGACCGCTGCCCGTCAACGGATTTTGGTCAGGTGCTCGACGTAAGTGCTCTCGCGTGTCGCGTCTTGCCGTGTTCGCTCCGGTCGGTTCGCGATAGTATGTCGCCGAACTCGGTCGTTCCGTCGCCGTCGGCCCGTTGAACGGTCACCGACGAAAACGTTGTCCGCGCGCGCGCCTGTGTTCGCACCGACATGACGTCCGTAAAACGCTTGCAGCTGACGTTAGCCATCATGAAACCCCACGTGGTGTCGTGCCCGTTCTCCCTGCTCGTGAGTATCGGCTATTCCGTCCCGGTGTGGACGTTCGTTTTTTTTGTTCTTCTATTCGTTCATCTCATTCGAATCAAATACCGATCCCTGCGGAAGGCGATGCTTCCACGGTTTCCTCGGCCAGCGGTTGAGGCGGTTAACGAGGTCGCGTCAGGTTGACAGCCGGTGTATACGTTCTGTCGAACAGTATGAGGAATCCAAATCAAAAGTTGGGCGGCTTGTCCCATATAGCATGTGAGCGGTGACAACAGGTGAGAGGAAGCATTGTAGAGGAGGCTTGGATAATTAAGTGTGTTATGGTAACTGTTCTACTAGTTATGTTTTCAGGTCTATCCGACAGGAGTAATTTCAACGCTCCCGTTTAAATCTGTGTTTAGTTATGAGAGATAGGTTTAAAATGAGCAGTGGCACCAAACCCTTTTGCTTGATGTAGCAGTCGCTACTCCTAAAAAAATAACAGGTGAGTGGGTACTATAACGTATAAGTGAAAATATTAAGACATAATAATTATTATTATTGTTAAAATTAACAATGATAACATTGTGTCATTCATGCTTCATATTATTTCTGTAATACCTATAATATTAACAAATAAACAATGAAATAAAAAATAAAAAAATAATTTAAATATTGAGTTTTTCGAGGAGTTGGATGAGTGGAAAAGAATTAGCAGAATTATTGAAGAGGAAAAATGTTAATATTTGTTGCGTTGAGGAAACTATGTAGAAAAGAGTGAAAGCAAAAGCAATAAGATAGGGCTATAAAATAATTTATTCAGGAAGGACTAGTACTAGAAATGGGGTTGTAGTATAATTGGATGAGGAGATAAAAAGGAAAGTAGTCGATGTAGGAAGAAAAAGTGATAGAATTATTACGGTAAAATTGGTATTACGGCCAACCCCAAATAGTTAGGAGAAAGGCGAAGGAGAAGAAGAAGATTCAAATCAATACTGATCCGTTACCTATGAATTCAGTCCGCCTAAGTTTTTTCTGCGCAACACTACACCGTTATTGTTCCTTGTAGGATATCAGGAGAACAATACTTGACAATGGTTTCTATGTTGTAAGATCAGTGCGTCAGACTATTCAATTAGAACAGGCGGAACGATTTTACAGTGAGCATAAAACAAAGTTTTTTTACAACAGACTCATCACGTTCATGACAAGGTAGTTAAGTATGTTCTTTGTTTTATTTACTTATGGTCTAATCACCAATACATTGTCATTTAGTGGGCCATCTGAAGCTTATATTTTGGCCAGAGAAGATGCGATTGCAGTTTGGCGTCGTTTGATGGGACCAACTAAAGTTTTCCAATCCCAACTAAGTCATCCTGATTGTATAAGAGCGAGACATGGCCTCACCGATACCAGAAATGCTACTCATGGATCTGGTGACTTATAATTATTTTAGGTTAATCTATCGAATTATATTTTGATATATACTTAATTAATTTATACCATGTGGTATTTAATATTATGTTTCTTAACACATCAATATCTCCCAATTTATATAAATTATTTTTATTATTACCGTTGTGCAAATAATTCCATACTTGTGCGTGTTAAGAAATTTTGTATGTTATAATTAGAGAACGGATTTATATGCACAAAAGATCCTCAAAATATGCTTCCAAAAATGCTGTAATATGCTACAAAATATGCACTTATAATTAAATCAAAATTATTATTATTTTTTAAATCATGTAAAAATTTCGCAAATATTGTAATACAAAATTGAACCATCAGTTTGAAAATATCTTTATGGTCGTTTATGTATGTGTATAAACGACTACTAATTAGTGTTTTTACTTTAGGCATTTTATAGTTATGAAAGAATAATAAAGTAAAATTACTAGACACAAAAACCGCGATAATTTTATATGTAACAATATACATACGAATGCACCCACTGACTGATTGGTTTCCGTAATACCGTCTAGTTCAAGTGTTCAACTGTATCATATGAATTTATCTATATTTATATAATTTGTATTGGATCATATGTTGCATACAAGTATATTATTTTGTTTTTGGCTATAATGACTAGTTTTCATTTTATTTGTATCATGTGGCTGCGAACATGAAAATAATAGGTAAAAAAATATATGTTCTATAAATTAAACTATACTCTATAAAACTACAAATATGTATGAAATATACAAAATAAAATTAATGTAATTTTAATAAGAATGATCTAAATTGAGGACAATTCTCATCAGATTTCCAAAAACATAATCCATTACATATAAGCATTTGCCAATAAATTCGTTCCCTAATTATAATCATTTACTAAAAGTGGTAAATATAATTTTGTTTTATATTCAGAATATTTATAGTATTTAAATAAATAAAAAGATATTCTCCAAAAAAGATATTGAAGTTTTCAAATGAAATTACAAATTGTTCTTATAGATACATGCGCAATAATTTAATATTTATAATTTAAGTGTAGTTTTTACCTATATGTTGAAAATATCCAGGATATGTATTAACATAAACTATTTTAGTGTCATTACATTTTATTTTACTTTTTTTACTACATCAATGTTAGGCAACTAATCAAAAATGTTGTATTATGAAAGAAAGGTATTAAAAATATTCTAAAAATAACATAATATTCAGCTTTAGAAGTAATAATAGTAAAAATATAATTGATATTATATACTTTCAATTGTATAGTCGTGTTTAACAATTATTTTTATTTCAGATTCAGATGAATCAGTGCGTAAAGAAGTTAATATAATGATCCCACAGTTTAGTTTCGAACACTGGAACCAAATCGAAGAACCATTGTTTCGAAATGGAAAAGTGCAGTTCAACAAAGATCAATTTATTCATGTCTTACACTCATGAAAGTGTTTTAACACTAAATTAATAATATAATATATATATATAGTTAGTTTGACTGTTTACTAGTGTTTTCTAGATTTATTATACTTTATTAGTTCAAAAGTCATTATTTCATAAGAATAATATATTTAAATCAATTAGGTACTTGTACTATTATGATATAGTTTGTACATAATGCATTATTATAATTCTAGTTGCCAAATTATTCTTTAAAAATGTTTATATCATTAGTCAATATTGAATTTGTGTACTTAAATAGGTGCTACATTCTGATTTGTGTTATTTAACATACATTGTAGACAATTATCTTCTGTATATATGCATACAATATTGTAACATTTAAGTAAATTAATCCAAGAATTAAATAATCATTGATTTATAATTATCAATGATTATATATTATTAATTAATTTTTCAAGGTTTAAGTTTAAAATTAAATATATGTATTTAAAATAACCAAATACTTAAATCTTAAAATATGTTTAAAAACGGCTAGGAAGTAACAAACCAAGCGTTTCCGATTTTATAAAAGGTTGAATTACATCAAAAATATACTTTATAATTCACACAACTGATAATATTGGTGTTCTTAATTTATTATCAGTATACTTTATACTCAGACAAAGAAAATAAATTGGAAACTATAACAACATACAAATAATTTTGTTAATAGAACTTCACTCAAGAATTAATGAATATTTTTAATATATTTAAAAAGAAAATTTTCAAATGTGATTAAAATATTCATACCATTTTTATTAATATATAAATAAATAAAAGTTTAGCCTTTTATATGCCTGATATTAAATTTTAAATTAAAAAATTATCGTACTTTACAAATATAATAATACTACAGGCTAAGCTTTTATTTATTTATAAATTAATTTACAAATATTAACCATTTAATAATATTTTATTTTTTATTATTACATTTGTTTCATTGCAATTTAGTCTATATAGTTTAATCTAGATCAGCGGTCCTCACTAGAATATTAGAAAAGGCCAAATGTAATTTTTGAAAATTACTTATAGGCCGCATACATGTTTAATAATAATAACCGTAACATTGATTGTTTTTCAGAAAAAATTCCTTTTTTTAATTCAACTAGTTTGTCTTCTCTAATTTTAGATGAGTGGGGATAATTTTTAGAAAATTAAATTTGCTGAGTTATGTAATGACGATTAATATTATAACGTTTTGGAATATTTATGGTTATACGATAAATTAAACTTAAAGCATCATGTTTCTTACAAGAAAAATTCAATCTCCCAACTGTCTTGAAATATTATGTGTTCATCTTAAATTTTACGTTTCGCCATTATAAAGAATTAAAATGTACATGATAAAATACAAACGGACAATAAGCGATAATGGATAAACTTATTAAACAAGATTACGCGGTAAAAATTAATAAACCCATAATCGTAGGTACCTGCTCATCTGGCCAACTGAAATTCCATACATCGAGATAGATTAACAATATTGTATTGTTTAACTATTTCGATGATTCCATATAAGTTTAAAATAGAAAGATAAAATAAATAAAAACAAGATAAAAAACAACGTTCATTTTATTCTCTATAGAATTTTGGATTTTAGAGTACAATTCAATTCTAGTGCGGGCCGCACTAAATTTATTGAAGGGCCGCGTAGTGGGGACTACTGATCTAGATCAACAATTTTTAATTTTTTATAAAATTAAAAATAGTATCAAGATGAAGTTTACTTTACATCTTATAAAGTTTAAATTTAATAAACTAAAAATCATTATTTTTCCAACATAGCTAATAATAAAGAATATGTTCATTATAAGTAGAAAAGTCTACCACTTTATGGTAAAAAAAAATAATTTATTCTATTATCATTTTTAATATATTTAAACTATGCTAATTATTTCTTTTAGTTCATATTGTGTTTTCTTAAAAAGATCTTTAATATTAACAATATTCATTGTTATTATATTATTAGTTAATATTTCGAAATAACGATGTTAATAATAATGTGCTATTGTATCCAACAAATTCTTAAGATAATATCATAGGCGTGCCCACGGCGGGGGGGGACTACGGACTCTGGCTTTTTCTTTAATAAATGTATACCTATAATATGCTAGATACATTTTTACATTTTATATGAATAAAAAAGTAAAGCCAGTTTTAATCTCATAGTATAGAATTGATATCTGTAAATAAATGTAATAAAGTTATTAGTTATTAATCAGACTAATCAGAACTTGCATAGAATATAAAAATTGAAGATGTAATTGATACATTCAAAAACCTTACTCCCGTGGACAGAAGGATGAGATTGTAAATAGTATAATAATATGTAAATAAGGATTTCTTGGATATAAATTGTGTAAGTTTAAATAGTATTTATTTTTATATTTGCATATTGAATTAAATAAATAATTTATAAAATTTAAAATATTTAATTATACTATTAGTCTTTAGTAGGTATAAGAATCTTTGGTTCACTTTTTTTAAGGGGCCTCCCTGCGGACAAAGTCTGCGCACGCCTATTAATAATACCAAGGGTGTATTTGAGTTGAGGCCATGGTTGGGGGAAGGGAGTAAAACTAATTTTTCTTCGATACAAACTTAAAAATAATTTACAGTTCATTACCTACAGCTTATGTTCCTGTTATAATGATAATATATCATAATGATAGACTATTAATTTAATTCTTAATTATTTATACATTACATTTTTTAAATAAATCAATGTATTATATTCAAAAAAAAAATACGAGCCATGAGAAGGGCGAACGCCCCCTTCGCTCCCCTTCAAATACGCCCTTGAATAATACCTTCGAAATCTGTTGTCTCCTTTAAAAATATGTTTCATTTAATGACGAGTTCCATCATAGTTAATTTGGTTAATTCTTATCGGTACATTTTATAAGGAATTTTCACTGGGCGACAAAAATGTTTTTCTCAAAATAGTCAATGTATAATACCATAGTACGATTATAGTATTACACGTTTGTTTCGCATTATTTCGCCCAATCTTTTAAAATACTGTCGACAGAGTATAATCACTGGGCGACATTTGTGTCGCCTAGTTAACTGGTTAAAAAATGCACTGATTCTTATGACAATGCAAATATATTCATATAGTAATGTTTCTTAATAACTTATTATAATCAGTAAAATACACTTTTAACTGAGGAAGTTCAAAATAAAATATTATATATTTGACAAAACATCAAACGGGATATTCTATAGGTTTTTTAATGTATTAATAAATATATATATATACGTAAAAACCTTGTAATTCATATTTGATATTTGTGTACCGTTAACGATTGATTGCACGTGTAGACCTGGCATAATAATCTTACTGAAAATTATGACGCTTGTCTTGTCATTGTTATGTCATGCTAGACTTTATACTACAAGAACATGCCGGATCCGTTACGATGCAGTTTATGATATAAAAAAAAATCATTTTGAGTGTTGCTATCGGGTACTGGCCAAAAAAAATTATAAACAAATACACTACACGTATCTCTGTACGCGATATTGAACGCATTCAGTCAATATAACCGATTTGGAAACCGCATTTGAACGTAGCTACCAGTGAAGTGCAGAACAAAGTTTAAACGGGATAACATTTCAAATATTTTGAAACATTTTCCGATTCTCGCGTGAACGTCTAGCTGAATAGCGAACATATTCATTCCGAACATATCGAATTCACTGAATATTCTCGCGAGGAGTATAGAACCGGCAGCAACCTTCTATCATGTAAGTATTAAATATCCGTAAGGGCGCGTGCACAACCGAGTACATTTAGATCACGATCACGTCTAATCGTAAACATTGAATTTGTATGCGTACAACGAAGCGAACGAATCCGAACCCGAACAAACTCGATCGCCTCCGATGTCGGGAATAACAGTGCATTTTTTAATTACCTAGTTAAGTAGGCGACACAAATGTCGCTCAGTGATTATACTATGTCGACAGTATTTTAAATGATTGGGCGAAATAATGCGAAACAGACGTGTAATACTATAATCGTACTATGGTATTATACATCGAATATTTTGAGAAAAACATTTTTTGTAGCCCGGTGAAAATTTTTTATAAAATGCACTAGAGAATAAGGCGCTCGCCCACTGTGTATGGGTCTCAGTCCTCGTGGTTAAACGTAATGGATGCGTGAAACTACCAGGTTTTACGGAAGTCTTGAACGGTCCATATTTATGATCATTGATTTACATCGATCGATCGATATCACCGATCAAACGCGTCCACACCCATTAGATTGTGTAAAACGAGCGCAGTTTTAAACGGTAAACGCGCGCGAGCGCTGCGGTAACATTGGATCCGATTATTGTACGATTGTCGTAGGTAGTCCCCGTAGCTCTGTCCCGTGTACACGGTGTTTGATTTATTTTTATTATTATTTTTTTTTTTTTTACGCAATCTGCACATTAACATAATGTGGTTTTTTCTTCACTTTTTATCGGAGTAGAGTACATTATTTATTTGCTTAATCTCTTGTCGATTTTTAAGTACATAATACACGCATAGTGACTTAGTGACTTGCACGCATAGTGCAATCAATAGTTTGCAGTGTTGTGCTTCGATAAAAAAAAATTATCTAGATATAGATAAAATATCTGGATTTAAAATTATCTAGATATACATAGATAAAATCACTTTTATCTAGATATAGATGGATAAAATAATTTTTATCTAAATATTTATATAAGGCATCAACGTTTTCATCCGTTTGTAGGCGAACTCTTTTTGGTTTTGGGTAATGGGTATTATGTAAAGATCCATTTCAAAATATAAAATATTTCACCTATACAATAAAATTGAAAGTCATAGACAAAATTATGAAAAATCTTAAGAAGACGGTCTGACGTTAAACACTGAACACGTTGTGGATAAGAGTGCGCTGCGTACAGTTCAAGTTTTTAATAAATAACGGACATTTCACGCCCAATATTCATTTTGTTGTACAATAGTATTATGTAGACACATCAAAGTACGAATTCATAGAATTGGGGTCCGGTAATGACAATTATTTAGAGCACATGATTACATGAACAATAGACATAATTTATATATAAATATTGAATTTAAGGCGGTCGAATGATGATGGAGAACGATCAATTTCTGTGTAGGTACAGCGTAATGCGTATTATGATATTGCTATTTTCTTATCAACAATTATATCTGTATTTTATTATTTACTAGCTGAATTAGCCATCGTTGCCGGGTTTAAGTATATAAATGTATGTAACCTGTAAAGATTAAATTTTGTTAAATCTATTGAAATTTAAATTAATTAAGATTTTTGAAATAATATTTTATACATATTAATTTAGTTATTATCATAAGTTATGATTCATAACCTATTCGATAAGTTATAGCTTACAACTACCTGAACCTCTCTACAGTTTGGTATTCGGTTGAATACATATAGCATCTCACTTCTCCGAATATTTTACCTTTTGTCAATAAATTCATGGTCTTTTTGACTTTTAACCGAAACACTCTTGCAATTATATCATGTTGATCATATGATCTTTGACCGGGAAGTAAGAGCTCTTTTATCTCATCCCAGCGAGGATTACATGTAAAAGTAATAAAAAGGTCAGGACGACCGTAATGTCTAACATAGGTCATAGCATCTTGTGTTCTTTCGTGCATGTACCTTGGCCCATCAGTAAAAGTTGACGGGAGTATAACCATTTGGCCTAACTGATTAGCTCAGTGGTTTTCAAACTTTTACTAGACACGGCGCACCGTACTCTTCGAAAAATTTTCACGGCACACTGACCTTTTTTTTTAGATTAACAAAATTATTTTGAATTATAATTATATACATTTAATTAGAAAAGTGCGCTTGATGAGCTGACAAATGTTTATTAATTATAATTACATTGTATTAGTAATTAAATTTATTTACAAAAAAATAGTGTAGTTTGTACATGCATGTAATGAAAAATGTGTGCCTGATGAGCGTTACAAATATTTTTAATGTTTGGACGAATAGTTGACAGACATACCCTCATTTCTTCCTCCATTAAATTTATTTTTTCTCGTTTTTTATTTTTTATATTTGTAAGCGCTGAAAACCCCTGTTCACAAAATTATGAAGTTTAGAACGGCAAAAGAATCGTCAATGCTTTTATAGATATTTCTGGATATTCTTCAGAAACATATATTCAGAATTTATTGAGTGTGATTTCTTTGAATTTCAACTGCATTGTTCGATTATTTTTAATTAAACAGAGATTTTCTTCTTCAGCAAGTTTTAAATCAACCAAGTAACTAATAGACACTTTGAAAGGGTCTCGTAATTCTTAATATTGATACTTAGAAAATATATTCATTTTTACTTCCAACTTAAAATGCGATAGACTCGACTATTAATGACAAAATGTTGTCATCCGCAACTAGCAGAGCAGTACGTGGAAACATAATTAGATTACCTTGATTAACTTTAGTTTTCCATAAATTCAATTTTTCGATGAAAGCCATTATTTTATCTGAAGATGTTAACATATTTTCATTGCGACCTTGTATACTTGAATTTAGTTTATTGAGATGCTCAAACAAATCAGTTAAAAAGGATAACTGTCCACCACACTTCATCACCAAGAAAGTTGAATTCAGATTCTTCCATGGTTAAAAATACAAGTAACTCCTCTCTTAAATTGTAAAATCGTGATAAAATATTGCCCCTAGAGAGCCATCTTACTGAGCTGTATAAAATCAATCTTAAATAGTCTGCATCCATCTCTTCACAAATGTTTTCGTATAATCTTGATTTAAGAGATTGGCATTTAATAAAATTTATGATTTTTACAACCTGATCAAGTATATTTTATAAATCACTTAATAAAGATTTTGCCATTAGTGTCTCTCTATGAAGGAAGCAGTGGGTAAAAATAATTTTTGAATTTTTTTTCTTGACTAAAGAAATGAAACCTTTAATTGATCCAGTCATTGAAGGTGCTTCATCAGTACATATTCCAATACAATTATTTCATGATAAACTTACTGATGACAAATGTTCGAAATGTTCGTCCAAAACTTTAAAAACATCTTCACCTTTCGTTGTTCTGGCCAATGTTTTACAACAAAAATAGTTTTCACTAATATCGTCAACTACCATACGTACAAAAACCAAAAGCTGTGCTTTTCCACTTAAATTTGTAGATTCGTCTACTTGTAGCGCAAACATATGAGAATCGCGTAGCTTATTTAATACTTGTTGCTCAATAATTTCATGTCATTTATGCGCCTACTAATTGTATTATCTGATAAAGGAATTTTCAATATTCCTTGTTCAGCTTCTATTACAAAGAATATTTTCACAATTTCACGGCAAACAGGTAAAATTATCTGCTCACCTATTGTATGTGGTATCATTATTTTAGCTACAAGATCTGTAACTAATTAACTTGCTTCTTGAGATTTTTCAGAGATCTTCACAATTTTTGTCATATTTTTACTTTGTTGAGATTGTGACTAATAAACGTTGAAAACATGTAATTTTTTTTTCGATCAAATGTGAATGCTTAGAAAACAAATGACGTTTAAGTTTACTGAGCACCATTGCTTCATTTGATAATTTTTCACCATATACAAGGCACCATGGACGAGGATCATCCGTATCACCAGTACAAGAAAATCCCATTTTTAAGTAATTTTCATGATACTGACGAATATTACTATATTTTGGTTTTTTTTTTTTTTTTTGGTAGTTGAACAACGTTCTGTCAACAGAACGAGTAACAAATTTATCCGTGATTTTGATTATTAGTATATATTATTAACTAATAACTTATTAGTTAATGAATACCACAAATGTATTATTCTTTAATACTCGTATACTGTTACAATAGATTGCTATACAATTGAAAAACTACACTACGAATACGGCATAAACGGTACGGTGAGTTGCAATAGATAAACTGTCTGGGGTCTAATAATATTACCTATATATTTTAAAATTTATAGTTCAATAGTTATCTAAGATTACTTATCTTATCACTTAATTCCTATTAACTTTCGATTGATAAGTGCATAATGATTGCATTACGTTTGAAGACATTTATTTTCTTATATCACAATTTAATGCAATCAGTTATTTATGGAAACCATTTTTCTGAAGACTGCGGCACCCAGTTTGAAAACCACTGGATTAGCTTCTATGTCTCGTCGTCCAATCGCATCTTTTAAATGAATATAACTATCTGCACGCAATTTGGCTTGGTTGTTTTTGATGTAATTTAGTCTTTCAGTTTCAATTTTGGCGTATTCATCTACCAAATATTGACTGAAAAGAGAACGATAATTAACTAAATAGTTGTCTTCCCCTTCTCTGACCATTATTCTATATGAGTAAAAACTTGATGCAGAGACAGTTTTTTTAAGCGGTAACTTGGTTTTTGGATCGCGTTGTGGTATATTGATTGCATACCCATCATCCCCCCAACAAAACATTAAGGATACTGCAGTGCGTCGTATGCTCGATGTATCTCACTGATACGGTGAAGTGAGTAACTTCGGTTTTCGAGGATGATGTTTCTTCGATCAAACTGCTGATCTACTAACACTAAAGCAACTTCATTTGCCGTGATTATAAATTATAAATAATTCCCACCTCCCATGCATACTATGTAGGTAATATATATACATAACAAATTGTCATTGTTCATAATTAATAATAAATGCTATGTAAAACTATTTTAGAACCAATTTTTGCAAGTAAATATACAAATGAAATTTCTTATTTAGTTATATATTTTATATTGAACGATACAATTGTAGATTAGTTATTATTTATGATTAGCTACATATTTTGTGATTTATCTAGATAAATTTATCTATATGGCTATGATTTTTATCTCAATGAAAATTAAATGTCAATTTTATTTTTTATCTAGATAAGATAACGGTATGAAGTTTTTATCTAGATAAATTTATCTAAAGCACAACACTGTGAACAATGGACATAATACATAATGCATACTATTAGTATGTGATACAGATGCTGATGACCCCTCTTGTTGAAAAGGTCGCTGAAACTTCTTGAAAAAGATTTCACTCCCGTTTACGAAACTGTACAATCCTACTCATCATATTATATAACGAATGATAAAAATATTAATAATAACGTCGCACACACTTGCGTCCATCGGGTATATATAAGGGACTTGAAAAAAGGGCGAAGCAGACGATTTTTTGCTACGCGACACTGAGTACCTTCACGCTAGTGTATGTTATGGTCTGGACTTAAAATCTCAATAGTTATTAAATTATTAGGACTTAGCATATTTCACCACAGTTTAAATATTAGGACTTAGAATTTCAACGGTTTATTTAATTAATTGTACTTAGAATAATTTTGAACAGTTTAAATAAATCACCTTAACCATAACTAGTATTAATTATTTACAAAATTCACCTACATCAAGCGTTGAACAGACTGAGTGAAAAACTGAGATTCGATCAATCGGTTGACACGCAACAATAATAAAAATACTGATATTTTAAAAACGTACTGAAAAATAAAAGAATAATAATTTATATATATTAAATTCAGTAAAGAAAAGTTAATCGTCTTATTGTGGTGTAACTATTTTTTCAGCTTTAGAGTAACCAATTTTGAATTCTTAAAGAATGAATACCCCAATGAATAAAATGAACAAGAGCAAACAAACAAAAAAGTAAATCATTGATTAGTTTATTATTTTACAACAACTAATCATTTGTAACTAAAGAACTTTAAAACCGCATGTCCTTCACGTATAATTTTTTAATAAAACCAAACTTGAAACTACAGATGAAGAGCCGATTATTATTTTTAGTTGATTTAAATTTATTATATTTTAAATTCATAACTATTTATAAAATATTTATAGAAATGAGGAAATACCTTTAAGTAACATGAAAAACAATCATGAACGTAAGAAAAACCCAACTGAAGGTATAACTGAAAGCAAGACATTACTTAAAGACGGGTATGGACTAATTTTAATTTCAACAAAAGCAGTGATTGATAAATTTTAGTAAAATTTCAAATGCATCTAAAATATATACTTTATTCAGTCTTAAATATTAATTAAGTGCATTTTTAAAATATAACTTAAATATATATGTAATATTAATATTTATGTACAGATCAATATATACTTATGTCGTTATAATACATTTCAAGATTAATCTAATTATTTATTGAAAGATTTTAACTTTTTTAAAAACACTTCTACTTAAAAATGCAAATGAACCAAACTATGCTCAGCATGATTTAAAAATTCAACTAATTTACAGTTAATAAACAAACAGTTTTCAAGTTACTCTAATAGAATCCTAATACTATTCGTTTATATTCTTTGTTAATATTTTTTTATTATCTTAGTATTGTATATTTATTAGATTTTTCATAAATAAATGTAAGGATTTCATAACTTCTTTTAATTACTGAACAGCTCAGTTAAACAGTAGTAAATAAAAAATATCTCTGTTATGTTTTAGAGCTAATGTTAATAAGATTAATGACTCTAAACCAAAGAAAAAAGGAAAGAAGAACCGTAAGAATAATTTATCGTTAAACGAACAAGGTCAAGTTATATCAGATGGACAAAAAGAAAAACGTGATGAACCTAAAACATCCATAGGGACTGAAAGTCAAGTTAATGTTCCATCAGAAGTGATGGTAAAAGAAACAACAAATATGAAACAGGAAACTTGCACCGAAAAACCTGTAATTGGGTACGTATTTAATTTTTATTGTAATAATTATTAATCATTTATATTGATACAAAATAATATATATTATATAAATTTATACATTTTATATACTTGTATGTATTTATAATTTATATTTTGTTGATTAGTGTTTTCGTATAAAATACGAATTGTCATTGGATACATAATAATAGTATATAATAATTTTATTTTGGTCAGAAAAACATGTATTCATTGTTTATATAATTTATAGTATTAATTAATTTAGGTATACGAAAAGAGAAAATAACACGGTCAGATAAATAGTTATATTTTCTCTATAATTTTAAAATAAGTTTAATATTTTTTTAAGTACAATTTGAAACTTACAAATGAAATAAATAAAGTAAACATATTTACAAAATAGTCACGATTTTAGAAAACAAATCTCACTAATTTGAATGTTAGTAAGCCACGTTGTACATTTATAATTGAATAGAACTCTGTTGTGTTACTTATACTTGTTGTTAAAAATATTTATGAAATTAGCATAAATGTATAACTTAAATTATTAATTAAATATGCAACTAGTCGTGATACGTGTTCGAAAAATGATAAGAACCGATCTCAGAATGAAAATACAATCGATGAAGAGAAAATTGATGAAAACTATGTAAAACCTATAAGTTATGCAATGGCGTGTAAAGAAACGAAACCTAGAGTAGATCAAAATAAAAAAGAACCAACTTTAGAAGATAGAATTTGGTATATATTATTATTTTAATAATTCAGTTAATTATAATTGATTATAATTAATAGTAAACATTAATGCATTAATACATTAAACATTAATAATGTTAATTTATAATAATTAATTATAATTAATATTTGAGACTAATTTCTATAATACTAAGGGATATTTTTAATGGTTGTTATAATTTGTGTAGTATTAGAAATGTCATTTATTTTAACTATATAAGATTAATTAAATATGGATAACTCCAAAAACTGCTTGCCTTCACCACTTGGGTTCGTGGTTTTTCCGGGGACTGCACAGTAATTTATATACATAATACTGATAGTAAATATAGATAAATAAAAATATTGATGATTTAATCAATTTATTAACAATTGTTTTAAAATATTTTCAAGTTATTTGAGAGAAATAGACGAAAATTTATTCAACCTGTCTGGAGACGTTTGTCTTGCGCATTGTGTAGCGGAGGATTTACGAATGGGAGATGGAATTGCGATGGAATTCAAGTATAAATATTTTGCAAATATAATATTGATCAAAACAATAATGATTTCAATTGTTTTCTAGACGTTATTTCGGTGGTATTGGTCAACTGTTTGATCAAAATTTAACCGTAGGCAATGTCGGTGTGGTATTCAACAATCGTAATGAAACGGCATTTTATTTGGTGACTAAGAAATATAGCGGTGGGAAATCTACAATGCAGTCATTATCAGAAGCCCTAAAATCTCTACTACAAAAAATGAAAGAGATGAAGTTATCCAAGTTAGGGATCCCGAAAATCGGTTGCGGATGGGACGGTTTGAATTGGGATGAGGTAAAAGCACTTATTGCAAATATTTTTGCAGGATCCCGAATAAGTATAACCGTTTGCGTCCCGTCCAAAGTAAGTGTTAGAAATTACCAAATATTTTTCGGCCATTATTTTATTTTAAAACTTTTTCAAGATATACAATCGCATACCACCGCCACAATTAAAAACGTTTATAACACCGAAAGAATTATTGGAAACGAAAGCGATGAGTGATATTTTACTGTTCATTGATATTGAACAGTTAAAAAAGAATAATTGGACCAATGACTTGGTGGATAAAGTGAATGTTAAATATCCGTCGTTCAAGGAGCGGTAATTACATATTAATTATAATTCTACTGTTGAAAAAACATTAAAACTTATTTTAATAATAGTAATACTAATACCAAAACTATAGATTATATACCTAATTCGTAATTTAATTATTAAATTATAAATCGTTTTTAAATTCTATAATTTAATATAATCATCAGTTTGATAGATTAATATTGATGGTAAGCGATTTAAAATTATAAATACATTTTAATGTTCGAAAGTTAAAAATTTAAAAAAATTATTATCTTGATTTTGTTTGTCTGTAGATTGTTGAGAGATATCAGAATCAATCAGTTGAGTCCTGGAGATGTGACATCTTATTTCATAAACAAAGAAAGAATAAATTGCTTGTTTATTAGTCCAACGGCATATTATAGTTCACTGGAAAAAGGCTTCACAAATATGAAAAAATACATAAGAAGTTATAGACATTTTGTTTTCCAGAGTGGACCAATCAAATCAGCCGACAATTTCAAACACATATCACGCATGGTGTCGATAATGCGGTCCATCATTTACAGTTCGGAACTGTGGTTATGTGGGGATAAGGACCTGACTAAAGAAACAGAAGTCTATGATACTTACTGCAGAAATATAATTAATGAAATGAAACTTGCATCTCGACAAGTTACGGTTAACAACAGATCGAAAGCTGAAGATTGGAAACAAAATAATACTCCATCAAATAATCGAAAACGAAAAAATGCTCTACCAAGAAAAAATATGCAAAGAAGATAGGTAATTTTTATAAATAAATGTTACGAAAAATTACACTCACGTTAAATTAAATTATAAAATATGTAGGCAGTATTGTTTTATAGGATATTAAAACAAAATGTTAGTCATCATAAATATAAACTTAACCATCCGAACTACAGTACACATTTTGGAAAAGATCAAGAAAAAAAGTTTCATGATAAATTAAATTATACCTATTCTGAATCCGATATAAATATTTCACAATTCATTAGAACTAATATTTTCACCTATTCCGACCATTATAATACTTATAATTTTCTCTACCTAATAGTATATTTTAACTATAAATTATGATAATGTTATTCTTTATGAACTGGACAACGATATAATTATTGAACATTTAAGTAAAATTTTATTAACTCAGTATTATACTAATAAAATATATTTATTTTCTAGAGTGCAATTGGATGTCATTGCCAAACGTTTTGTATTGCAAACTGTACATATTTCCCTTTTTATAATTCGTTTACGAATTTCCATATCGTTCAATAATTTTATAAATATTTTACACTTTTTTTCTTCATTTTCTTCATTCCGTTACGGTTTTTGTCAATGCATTAACCTCCCTGCAGCGTTCGATCGTGGCCGTTACCAATTATTTCAGGGAATCATCTGTTTTAATTAATTTCAATTGCAATTTTAATATGTAAATTATGCTCTGTTGAAATTTATCAGGCGATTCCAATGGCACTGTTCCCCTAATTATTTCTCGATTTCCTTTTTCGTACGAGTGCAAAAATATTTCACGATGTGCTCTCTTTTTTAATAAACGGTCACTCCGATTTGGCATGGTGTATTTTTTCAAAATGTAGTCATTCAGTTCTTGTACCATACAGGATATTTCTTATTTTTAATAGTCAACTTATCTGTCGACTTTTAATTCGACAATTATCAAGTAGCTAATGTCATTCGTCTATACAATTACCTGGCCGTCTGAAACGTGTAGATTTTATTACTTTTGCTATATCACATCAACATTTTCGTGTTACCTACGTTAATGTTCTATGTTCAAAATTGTATTTGCTGTACGAATCACTTTCTATTGTTCATTCACACATTTAATTTAATTCACTTTAAACGTAAATTCGTGTATATTTAAAGTGAATTAAAACATGGGAATATACAACGGGATGTGATCTATACAGCAGCTATGATTATCTGAATATCTAATATCAAGGTGTTATCGAAATGCTGATCTGACGTTGCATCAAAAATAATGAAATCTCCACATTTCATAATTGTATAGACGTATAATATTTCGTTATTTGATGGCCGTTGATGAAACTCGACGGATGAGTTGACCAAAAAAAGAAATCAGTATAAAATGTGTTGTATGGCGGTACACGAAGTGTGAAAATAACTCACCGTCGAATTCACAATGACCATTTCACGAAAACATGACCATTTCGTGAACATGTTTTGAATTTCACGAAGTGTGAACCACGTTTCCGTTTGTACATAATCTCCCTGTAACGGTGATCGGTTAGTATTGTCCCGAGCCCATGTACGCAACCATGTAAGACCACAACATTTAAAATTTCGGATTGGTGTGCTCACTTTTCGGTGACCTGTTGATACGTTATTCGGATTTTCCTCGCCCGTCAGTGTAAGCCCGTCTTCGTCGCACACCTGAGACTTCACCAAAAGTGCGCCCATCGAATGTATCGCTCCCGATGTACAGATTCTGGTTAGATTTGCCGGAAAACAGTCGTTTGACTCGACCGTGAGTGAGGAGTTACGTCCTTGAAAAATCGCAACGCAATGACTTCGGTGCTGACCGGCACTTGACGGAAATATCCTTAAACGCGTCACGTGCAAACGACACTTCACGGCAAGCGAAGTGATTCCGGATCGGATGTAATGTTCTCTCAACATCGAATAACGTTGCTCGGGAATAAGTCACCGAACTACGGTTTTGCCAAACGGTTCGTCATCAGTGCCGAGACCGCACGGAAAGGAAACTTTTTACGTGAGCTAAAACAAATCTGGTGACGCCGAAATGTCTTGAAAACTTTTTACGTAATGATATTCAACAGTTGAGAACGTGCGAAACACCGGGGAATACGTATCGGCTGCAATCTCGCACCGAGCCGTCGTCGACACCACCGCGGCGGTGCCGTTTTGCGATATGACGAGAATACAATAATTGATATTTAAATACTACATTCCAATGTCAATGCATATTTTATGGGCTGCTCTTTTAAATCAAGAAAATTATAATTTGAAGCGGACAAGATAATCATTTTCGTTGTAAGATATTATGTCTACAACACTCGTATTGTTTACGTTAAATATATTATAAATATTAGAAAAATAAATTATTGTTTCTATGTTTTTTTTTCGTACATTTATATATTAGCTGACCCAAAAGACGTTGTCCTGTCTTAATTATGAATATTGAATTCGAATTGGTATAATTAATAAAAAAAAATATGGCATACAATTTTCTTGAATAAATTTTGTTGCGCCAAATGACGTCATTTGATAACAATAATTGTTATTGTTTTGCTGTATATTAGTCAAAAAATGTTTATAATCTGGCACATTTCCGGAAACCAATGAATGTAGTGGATCTGATGGCGGTACCAATGACATCGATTTGATTTGACTGCTCGCGCAACACACTCCAGGAGCTTCGTTTTTAAACATAAATGCCTTGCAATATTGGCATACAACGTTCATCGGTCCAATAGCAACGATTTGCTGTGAACTGTAATCGATATACACGTTATAATTGAATGCACCTCGTTAGGGGTCAAACACAACGTTTCTATGTAGTTGATTTCGATTCCATTGATTCCGTTCGATTTCATTCCGCGCTTCGCGTTGCTCGTCAGTTTGACTTGCTCTTGTATATCTTTGACTCGTAGCATTGCGAGTTCTGCGAATTAAGCTTGTACATCTAATTACTGCCATTTTCATAAATGAAAATTCAAATGTATATTAAAGAAAACTTTTGTATTCTTCTTTAAAACAAAGTATATCACTTGTGTTATGTTAGTAACAGTGGTTAAAGTGGGGAAAATGTTGTGGGGGAACTATATTCATCAAAAATTGAGGAGCGTTCCCCTTCCTAATTTTAAATCTTACCAAACTTTTTTAGAAAACCCATGACGTCTAAGACTCTTTTGTTACACATATATGTTCATAAAAACTTTATTTTTATAGGGTGTAAAAACAAATTTCCCTCATAGAAAAATAATTCTATACATATGCCTGCTCAAAAAAAATAAATTGAAATACATAGTAGGTAATGTCTAAAAAACTTAACAAAACTTAAAAGAATCAATTGCTAACCTTGCTAGTTGTTGGTCATCGTAGACAGTAAAAAATACGTACATTGCATATAAGGTGAATACTGTCTATATTATAAAATAGTGTCTATCTATCATAATTTAATATTTATACTATTTATAGTTATTATATTCTGTTTATATTTATTCTAAATAATAGTCGATATCACCATCACTTTAATTTTAGAGCTATGGGTAATATTCGCTCGGGATCATCTATAATTAGACACAGCGTCAATTAAATTAACCCATGGTGTACATTATCTACCATATTTTCTTATCGTTATACTTAAATATTATTTCTCCGAAATTTTTTCCACTTGTTCAAATAAATCAAGAAAATAAATTTCATGTAATATTGTAATATTATAATAAGTATTGTATATTCAATATGGTATTTTAGTGACCAATGCCATTAAGCGTCCACCCCGACTTTTGGCGACTTAAATTAAAGAGGACGCATATACTTACTTTAAATAAGAAGGGGGACTCTGTCCCCCTCCACTTTAACCACTGGTTAGTAACGTGTATGTTAGTTTATTCAAACTTATCAAAATTCCATATTAAATTGAACTTTTAATATTAGGCATTATGGCTCTGAACTATTCGTGATATGCACTAAGAAATTCAGTTATCTTACATAATTTTATTAATTAGATACATGCGTGATTGCGTAATAGGGATTCATTTTTATATGTTTACTTTATACTGTTTGTCATATAACAGGAGGTGTCGTGCACCCAAAGGGGATTACGACGGGTAGTGATGGAGAAGAAAGAAAACAACACTTTGAAGAATATATTATAACACACTGTAATTATGTAAATAGATATAAAGTTAAACTGTACAGGAGTCAAGTCGGTCACGACCAGGCGCGTATACAAGGGGGAGCATGGGAGCAATGCCCCCCCAATTTTTTAAAAAAAAATGGTCGGGGAAAAAATTATATGTATACATACTATATAATATATTAAAACAGTATTTAAAATTATTCTTATAATATATTTTCTTTATTAGATTATTAGACAATAATCCCAAACTTCAAATACACAACTTATTAGATACAAAACGAATGCAAGAAATAAAAGAAAATCAGGAAAGACTTATTCCAATTATAGAAAGTATTGTATTTTTGGGAAGACAAAACATCCCTTTTCGAGGGCATAGAGACGATGGCCAACTAGATTTACCGCCTACCATTGAAGATGGAAGAAGTTCAATAAACGAAGGTAATTTTAAAGAGCTTTTAAAATTTCGAATCAAAGCCGGAGATTCTATGCTTGAAAATCATCTGAAAAATTCATCTTCAAAAGCAACATATATTAGCAAGACAATACAGATCGAGTTAATCGATTTATGTGGTAAAGAAATTTTAGACAGTATTTTAAAAAAAATTACAGACAAGAATATTTTTTACAGTATAATTTTTGATGAAACCTTAGATGTGTCTAAACGATCGCAAATTAGTTTAGTTATAAGATATATTGATGCAATAACAATTAGAGAAGATTTTTTGGCATTTATAGATGCATTTGACGAAGCTCGACTTATTCAACTTAGGAGTTCTAATAATAAATTAAGTGATGATGAAGAAGTAAATATAGAAAATTCTTTTGAAAATTATGAATGTTGCAAAAATGTAGAAGAAATATCGATAACTGGGAAAATGCTAGGGCAAAATGTTTTAAATCAACTGAGAAAAATGGGTCTGAATCTTAACAAATGTGTAGGTATTAGTACTTATGGTTGCAGTGTTATGACATCAGAAATTTGTGGAGCTGTAGCTGAAATTATAAAGAGTTCACCGAATGCCCGTAGATGTTCATGTTACAACCATTCTCTTAATATTTCTATTTCAAAATCA